GGGCGCGGGGGCTGTGCCAGTGTGCGAGTGGTCCGGCTGCCCCTCGCAGCCCCTGGGGACTGAGGGCGCTGACGGCCCGGTGGCGCCGCCACGCTGGATCAGCACCAAGGACAGCAGCGGTGCAGGCAGCGAGCGCCGGGCTGCGGGATCCCTGGGGACAGAGGGGTCCGGGGGCGCGGCAGGCGGCCAAGTCTGTGGTCCTGGGGCGGGGCCAGGCGTCGGTGGCCGTGACTGGAGACTGTTACTGAGGGCGGCCCGGGCAGTAAGCAGTCTAGAGCCAAGGTGCCGGCGCACTGCCCGGGCCGGGGGTTCTCCCGTCGCCCACGGCTAGGGGCGCTGCTGCTCCTCCTCCCCCGCTTCTCCCGCCCCTCCCGGTCCCAGAGCTTGTGGACAGGCATGTGGCCCCTGACGTCAGAGCCCTGTGACGTCAAAGCTGTCCCTGTGGGGAGTCACTTCCGGCGGCGGAATGAGAGTGGGGGCGGGGCGGTCTGGCAGAGGCCCCGCCTGGTCCTGAGAGGACAGCTCCTCGCGCAGAGGCGGGAAGTCGGGGGCGCAGCGGGATCCGCCCGACGGCACCGGCTGGGGAGGGTGTGCCCCAGCTGAATGTGGGTGGGGGTCCCGAGAGAGCTGCGGCCAGGGCGGCGGGCCGGTGGGCGCCTGTCTGTCGCTGGCGCCCCCACTCAGCCAGCTGGGGGGGCAGTGCGGCTGAGTCACCGCGCTGCCGGGAGGGGCAGGAGGGGGGCGCGTCTCCTGGGGCGCCAGCACCCTCGCCCCACTTTCTTGGGAGAATGGCGCAGGAGCCCAGGAAAAGCCGCGGGGACTCTGGGTTCCATCCTCTGCTCGATGCTCCTCCGAAGTGGCTGAGTCTCCATCCCGGCGCGGGCAGGTGCTAACAGGATCCTGTGTCCACCTCCGGCCCCATTGTGGGGAGGGGGCCCCGTCAGGCCGCATCCCGCCAACGCTCCACCGGCTACAAGGGGACCCTCGTCCCCCATCCCGTCCGCACCCCGGAGGGGGCCTTCCAACCCGCCGCCCACCACTCTCCTCCCTGCCCTGTCTGTATCTGTGCGTCGGTCCATCTGTCGTCCGTCGGTCCATCAGTCCTGCTTACCTGGCGGCCGCGCCGCCCGGGCGCCCGCTTGCCTCCGGCAGCCCAGCGGACGCGGCTGCTTTTATAGGAGCGCGTAGTACTCGTGCAACGGCTCATTCATGCGGCCGCGGCTCCTACACACTGACGCGCTGCCGACGTCAGCAGGGAATTTAGGAAATGGGAAGAGGGGCTATTTATAGTGGCGAGGCGGGGGGTGGGGACCGAGGCGACTGGGAGCTGGGAGGGGAGGAGGGCGCTTGGAAGCAGGAACGGGGAGGGGCAGCCCGCGCCCCCTGCCAGGGCCTGCAAGGGGTTAACTTTCCGGAACTGCGGGCTGGGGGACCGGGGGAGGACAGAGCCCCGAGGGTACGCTGGTACGCTACGTGTTTATTCATTCTCTGCTCCTGGAACTCTGGGGCGCAGCCCACCGGCCCTGCCCGGCCTTCCGGGTCCTCACCGGTAGTCCCCACCCCCACTCCTCCGTTCCTGGACCCGACGGCTCTGTGACGTCACATGATGGCCTGCAGTGGCGTCACCCTCGCATACTGGGGAGCCATGAGAGGCAGCTGGACCTGGGGAGGGGCCCAAGGCTCAGTTGGGGCGGAGTGTGGGAAGAGGCCAGGGGAAGAAGAATAGGGGAGCCCAGGGGTCTTGGAGAGCTTTGGCGGAGGAGGCTGGACCTGGGAGGGGATGCCCAAAGGTGGTCTAGGTACCAGTTAGGACCTAAGGCGACCTAAGGAAGGCAGAGAAGTTGAGGAGCGTTGGTCCAGAGGGGTCTCAGGGAGTGGAGAGGCAGCGACCTCTGCCGGTAGGAGTTAAGAGTTCTTGGAGATCATTATTGGCAGAAGGGCCCGTGCCATGCGGGGCAGAGTTCCTCTGGAGGGATGGTGGTGATGAACGGTCCTGGCCCAGCCTAGCTCCATCACTGGAGGAAGGCTCTAACAGGAGGAGGAGGAGTGTGTTCTGAGACAGAGGAACTGGAGTGGGGCGGGGAGGGGTAGCAGATTCTGGTCAGGCCAGAGCAGGTGGATCTGGGGTGGGAGGAATAGCCGAAGACTGAGGAAGGGTGAAGTCCACAGGACAGAGAGGGGGCCCTGACCCTGCAGCTGGCCTGGGGGCAGGGCTGTGAGACCCTCCCATTCAGATGCAATGACGGCTTGAGGGTAGGGGATAGAGGTAGTGAATTTATTTGGGGTGAACCGAACCCAAGAGAATGTTGAAAAACAAAGACGTGGGGACAGCGGACCCTGGGATGGGTCCGCAGTGGATTCCACTGCACAAAATACACAAGGGTATGAGGGGCTCCTTGCCAAGAAAAGATTAAAACAGAGAGGGGGTCAGAGAGGCCCGGCATACTCTTGGGATCTGGCCTCCTAGAGTCCCCATTTCTTGCGGCTAGCTTTTGTTCCAGCAGTTCTCCAGGAACTGGAGAGAGAACTCCTATTCATCCGTCAAAGCCTAGCTCTAAGAGCACTTATTCTGAGGAGCCATCCCGCCTCCCCCCAACACTCCAAACACTCTTCCACCTCAGTCCACAGCACATTTCTTTGTTGAGGTATCTGGGTCCATCTCCCCTAGAGGCTGGGAGCTCTGAAACCTACTGCTTTCATCTTTGGGATCTCACTATTTCCCGAGTGGGGACATCATGAGGAGACGGAAAAGAGAACCGGGATAAGATGGGTCCAAGGGGCGGAAACAGAGTGAGGGGCGGACTCAAGACGCGGCAGGCGTCAGGTGGACCCGCGGGGAGCAAGAGCGGCCGGCCGACTGGCTGGCACTAAAGCCGTGAAGCTGCCTGCGGAAGGAAGGGAGACTCTGGGGGGCGCCCGAGACCTTGGTGTCTGGAACTGCAAGCGGCCGCGCCAGTGGCCCCTAGCTAGATGGCTCAGCCACTAGTTCTGGCGGCGGCCTGCAGGCCGCGGCCGAGGACTGTGCGGGAGGCGGCAAATGCAGCCCCCGCCAGCCTCGCGGCCGGGCGCGGTTGCTAAGCTCTTCAAGGCCTGGGAGAGAAGCAATCTGGGCGAATCTCATCGGTTACTATAGTAACGCTGCGCCCCAGCCTCTCGAGCTGCGGAGGCACAGCCAATCAGAAGCTGCGGGCGTTCTCGGCTCCCCCCCCTCCGCGTGTGGGCGGGGGTCAGGAGGTGCGGGGAGGGGGCGGAGCGTGGGCCAGGGAGACTCAGTGCTCTCAACCGGCGCGGTGCCGCGGCGGGGCCGCGCGGGGACACTTCCGGAGTAGTGGAGCGAGCGCCCGCACGCCACTGCGGTGTCCTTTCCCTCCCAGAAGGGGCGTCACCTGCACGAACGGGACCTCCATGCGTAGTGCAGGACCTTAGGCCCTCATGTCACGTTTCTCTTGTGTCCGTGGAAAAGAGGTCGTCCAAGCGGGGTCCCTCGAAATGGCTCATGCGAGAATCTGGGGGCGGGGGTCACTCCTGAAGGACCCCAAGAGACGCTGTCCCGCCATTCCCAGCTGAGTATCCTGGGGCTCCGCCAGAGACCCACAAGTTTAGCGCGGGCTGTTTGGGTAACACCTCTGCCCAGGTTCACGGAAGGCCCTATGTAGCAATCCCTGGAGTATCTCAAGCAGGAACCCAGACTCTGGAGGGGGCGGGTGTGTCTGTGCATACATACACGTCCCGCGGGTGTCAGTGTCAGGAGGGGGTCTGGGTGCGAAAGGGTTTATACTGTGCATCCCTAAACCATGTGGCTGAGTGAGTGTGGGGCTGTTGGAGGGGGTCCAAGTGGACAGTCTCATCCAGGAATGTCTAAAGGAGTGTCCTTGGAGATCAGACTCCCTTAGGATTTCCGTAACCTCCCTCCCACCACCTAATGTCATCAGAGTCCCCTCCTTGCGGGCAGGAGTTTTTCCAAATTGGTGCCGTATGCGAACCCAGAACTATGTACATGGGAGTGATGTACCCTAGCCCTTCTGAGCTCAAAACTCCCGGATTTGTGGGGCTCGTAGGGCCGAGTCTGGGTTCCTGGTGCGCTGGAACGGTGGACCTCCGGGTAGGCCCCCCTCCCCAGAGGCGTAGCACGAGTAACCAGTGCCCAGGGGCAATCTCTAAGTTTGCGCCCCCACCCCCCCACCCCGGCGGTTTCGTCGACGGGTGTGGGGAGTGATTCGCCGGCCGGCTTCGTCTGGCTCCACCTGGACTTGCGCCGGATCAAATGCCTCCCTCCAGCACGGCTTCGCTAAGCCTCTGTCCCTCCCCGCCCAGCTTCGCATCTGAGAGCCTACCGTCCAGGTGAGCCGAAGGGAGCTAGCGGTTGTGCTGCGCAGAGCCCGGCGCGGCCGCCAGGTGGCGACATGGCCGCAGCAGCGCCAGCGGGCCCGGGCCGCTCCAGATAAGAGTGTGCGGAAAGCGCAGCGGGGCTGAGACGCGACCAGGACGCGGGGAGGACGGACCAGCAGGACAGACCGACCGGGGGCCCGGCGGGCGGAGCGCAGCGCAGCGCAGCCACGTCCCCCCTGGATCCGCCGGCAGCCGGGCCCGGGGCTTCAGACATGCCCCCCAGGTGGGTCCCCGGGTTGGGGTTCGGGCGGGACAAGGAACCCGGGACAGCCCGGTCCCCAAGCGCTGGCCGCCTCGGGGCGCATCGTCCGCGGGAGCCCCATCGCGGCCGGCGTTCTAGGGCTCCCGATGTCGCCCCTAGAGGACTCAGGACCGCCAGTCGCTCCTCCGCTCCAGGTTCACGGCAGGGTCAGCGGCCCGGGGCCGGCTCTGCCCGCACATGGGCTGGAGAGGCGAGGGGAAGGGAAGGGGAGCTGGCGGGCGGGGCTGGCAGGGGCGCTGCCCTGGCACAGCTCGGCGCCTGGCAGCGGGGCGGGTCGGGCGCCGGCGAGGAGCTGCCACCACCGCGGGGAGGGAAGCCCGGCCGGGCTGCGACCGCAGGTAACGGGCCGCCAGGCCTTGCGGGCCAGGCGGGGAACAGGGGTGGGCCGGCGGGCGAACCGGCAGGGGAGCTCAGGGCTCTGCTCTAACCGCGCGGCTAGGGTGGCCGCCGGAATTGGGGGCCGAAAAGAAAAGCCAGGAGCCAAGGGACTGGGGCTGGCGGGCTCCTCCCGCCCTGTCTGAAGTTGGGAAACTTTTCCCCAAGTTTGGGGCGGTGGAGTTCTCGGGGAGAAGGTGCCGAGGGGAGTTGGGGAGGGAGGCGCCGGGCCCGCGAATGCAGAGCCGAGGCCGAGGCCAGGGCCGGGATGCGGGTGGGGCGCAGGCCGGGGTCAGGGCCGCAGCCGGCTGCGTGCCGTGCCCGCCCGGGGCGCTGCCCCCTCCCTCCCTTGGGAGCTGCGTGGCTCCCCCCTCCCCCCCACCTGCTTCCTGCCTCAGCCTCCTGCCCCGATATAACGCCCTCCCCGCGCCGGGGCCCGGCGTTCGCGCTCTGCCCGCCACGGCAGCCGCTTTCTCCGCTCCCCGCACCCGGCCGCTGCCCGGCCCCATCCGAGGGAGGGCCTGACAGCCCCGGGTCAGGGCAGCGCCACGGCGGGCACCACACTCCCCTCCTTCGGATCACTTCCCCCAACTGGGGCAACTTCTCCCAAGGCGGGAGGCTCTTCCTACTCGGCTCCCTTTCTCCCCACTTGGGCAAACTTCTCGGCCCTGAATGACTTTTCCTGAAGCGGACATTTTCCTCAAATCGGGTAACCGTCTCCGAAACGGTCACTTCATCTCCAACAGTTTTCTCCTCGGAAGCCCCCAGCACCCAGCTCCTGTGCCCGGTGGCGTCTGGGCCTGGGGTGCGCCGGCCAGCCTGGCCTCCTCTCGACCTGTGTGGCAGCTTCTTCCGCTGGCTCGGCCTGCCGGCCCAGGCTTCCACTCCCAGAGGCCGCCGATCCTCCGCCAGTGCCCAGGCTGCGGTGCTCGATGCCCCTGCCCAGCTGAGGGGAAGGGGAAGTGGAGGGGAGAATCGCCGGGCTGGGTAGAGGCAGCAAGGGCGCAGCACGGCTCTGACCCGGCTGGTGTGTGTCCCCGCAGGAGATTGTGCTGGGCAGACGATGCTGGACACGATGGAGGCGCCAGGCCACTCAAGGCAGCTGCTACTGCAGCTCAACAACCAGCGCACCAAGGGCTTCTTGTGCGACGTGATCATCGTGGTGCAGAACGCCCTCTTCCGCGCGCACAAGAACGTGCTGGCGGCCAGCAGCGCCTACCTCAAGTCCCTGGTGGTGCATGACAACCTGCTCAACCTGGACCACGACATGGTGAGCCCAGCCGTGTTCCGCCTGGTGTTGGACTTCATCTACACCGGCCGCCTGGCGGATGGCGCGGAGGCGGCCGCGGCCGCGGCCGTGGCCCCAGGGACCGAGCCGAGCCTGGGTGCCGTGCTGGCTGCAGCCAGCTACCTGCAGATCCCCGACCTCGTGGCGCTGTGCAAGAAGCGCCTCAAGCGCCATGGCAAGTACTGCCACCTGCGGGGCGGCGGTGGCGGCGGCGGCGGCTACGCTCCCTACGGGAGGCCGGGCCGGGGCCTGCGCGCCGCCACGCCAGTCATCCAGGCCTGCTACTCGTCCCCTGCCGGGCCTCCGCCGCCCCCAGCCGCCGAGCCGCCGTCGGGCCCTGAGGCCGCGGTGAACACGCACTGCGCAGAGCTGTACGCCTCAGGCCCCGGCCCGGCCGCCGCGCTCTGCGCCCCCGAGCGCCGTTGCTCCCCGCTCTGCGGCCTGGACCTGTCCAAAAAGAGTCCGCCGGGCTCCGCGGTCCCCGAGCGGCCGCCGGGCGAGCGTGAACTGCCCCCTCGCCCGGACAGCCCTCCCGGCGCTGGCCCCGTCGCCTACAAGGAGCCGCCTCTTGCCCTGCCGCCGCTGCCACCGCTGCCCTTCCAGAAGCTGGAGGAGGCCGCACCACCTCCGGACCCGTTTCGTGGCAGCAGCGGCAGCCCGGGACCCGAGCCTCCCCCCGGCCGCCCCGACGGGCCCAGCCTCCTCTATCGCTGGATGAAGCACGAGCCGGGCCTGGGCAGTTACGGCGACGAGCTGGTCCGGGGACGGGGCTCGCCGGGCGAGCGCTGCGAGGAGCGCGGGGGGGAGGCCGTCTCACCCGGGGGGCCCCCGCTCGGCCTGGCGCCGCCGCCGCGCTATCCGGGAAGCCTGGACGGGCCAGGCACGGGCGGCGACGGCGACGATTACAAGAGCAGCAGCGAGGAGACGGGCAGCAGCGAGGACCCCAGCCCGCCCGGAGGCCACCTCGAGGGCTACCCATGCCCGCACCTGGCGTACGGCGAGCCGGAGAGCTTCGGTGACAATCTGTACGTGTGCATCCCGTGCGGCAAGGGCTTCCCCAGCTCGGAGCAGCTTAATGCGCACGTGGAGGCGCACGTGGAGGAGGAGGAGGCGTTGTATGGCCGGGCCGAGGCGGCTGAGGTGGCTGCTGGGGCCGCCGGCCTAGGGCCTCCTTTTGGCGGCGGCGGGGACAAGGTCGCTGGGACTACGGGCGGACTGGGCGAGCTGCTACGGCCGTACCGCTGCGCGTCGTGCGACAAGAGTTATAAGGATCCGGCCACGCTGCGACAGCACGAGAAGACACACTGGCTGACTCGGCCCTATCCGTGCACTATCTGCGGGAAGAAGTTCACGCAGCGCGGGACCATGACGCGCCACATGCGTAGCCACCTGGGCCTCAAGCCCTTCGCGTGCGACGCGTGCGGCATGCGATTCACGCGCCAGTACCGCCTCACCGAGCACATGCGCATCCACTCGGGCGAGAAGCCCTACGAGTGCCAGGTGTGCGGCGGCAAGTTCGCGCAGCAACGCAACCTCATCAGCCACATGAAGATGCACGCCGTGGGTGGCGCGGCGGGCGCAGCTGGGGCGCTGGCAGGCCTAGGGGGGCTGCCCGGCGTCCCAGGCCCCGATGGCAAGGGCAAGCTCGACTTTCCTGAGGGCGTCTTTGCTGTGGCCCGCCTCACGGCTGAACAGTTGAGCCTGAAGCAGCAGGACAAGGCTGCCGCGGCTGAGCTGCTGGCGCAGACGACGCACTTCCTGCACGACCCCAAGGTGGCGCTCGAGAGCCTCTACCCGCTGGCCAAGTTCACCGCGGAGCTGGGCCTGAGCCCGGACAAGGCGGCTGAGGTGCTGAGCCAGGGCGCGCACCTGGCCGCCGGACCCGACGGCCGGACCATCGACCGTTTCTCTCCCACCTAGAGCGCCCTACGCCGGCCCGCCTCGTCGCCGCCGCTCGGCCGGGTTCGCGCCCCCAGGGAGCGGCGGCGCCGGCAGTAGCGAGCAGGCACACTGCGCCCCAGACAGCTGTAGTATCAGCGGCAGCGTCGCCCGCAGAGGTGGCGGCCCCACCTCTCTGCGGCCTCACCTGGCCTCACTGCTTTGTGCCTTAGCCCGGGGGTGGGGGTGGGGAAAGACCCCGGGAAGGGAGTGGGATGGGGGGAGGGAGATTTATATTTTTGATATCAGCTTTGACCAAAGGAGACCCCAGGCCCCTCATCGCCTCTTCCTGTGGCTCGTTGGCCCCCTCCCTGGCTCCGTGCTGCTCTTGGGGGGAGGGGTGTCACCGTTGGGGCGCTCCCAGCCCTACCTCCGGCCCTTGCGACCACACCCATTCTCACTGTGAATCTCCCAGCTGGGGTCGGAGCGTCGGGCAGAGTTGGGGAGCGGGGAGGGGACTGAGCCGGCCGGAGGGCCCCCCGCCCCCGCCCCCACCTGCCCGGGGACTGATAATGTGAAGTTCCTCATTTTGCACAAGTGGCACTAGCCCCAGGGCCAAGCCTTCCCTCCCCGACCACCAAGGGCAGGGAGTTCCGGAGTCAAAGGGTTGAGATAGCCCCGGTGTACCCGGTCTCCCACTCCCGCGGTGCCCCCTTTCCCTGGGGCCCCGGACCATATTTATTGCATGCACCCCGGGCGGCCCCCCATCCTGAGCCCAGGCTAGGCTGGGCTGGAACGCGGTCTCTTTAGCTCCCTTCTCCTCTCCCTCCCTCGGGTTTGTATATTTTCTACCTTGTACACAGGCTCTTCTAGAGCCGCTTCCATTTTCTATACTCGAACCAAACAGCAATAAAGCAGTAACCAAGGACCACGGACCCTGCGGCTCTCTCCTGCCTCTGCACAAGGACCTGAGTGGGTGGCACCAGGGTGGGTGGAAAGGCCCGGAAAGGGCTGCCCTCACACAGGTGCAGAGGCTTGGACCTTCCTCCCCTCCCCAGTCCCAGAGACAGATCGGCAAGGGGTACGGTATGTTTCATAACTAAAAATTTATTAAGGAAACAAAACCAGTGCTGCAAACAGGACAGAAACGAGAGATGGGTCTCCCACCCACCCAGGCATCGGCCTTCATCCAGGGGAGAAGTTCTCAAAGGATAGGCAGGTACCCTAAAGAGTCCAGTCTTCTGAGGCCCTGGAGGACTTGTACCTCCAAACTGTTGGCCTTGGCCTTCTGGAACAGTCCTGCTCCTTCTGGCATAATCTTGGGGCCTCCAGGAAGGCACACCTTGCTCCCAGGCTCTGAGGGATTCCCCCACTGGCTCCATCAAAGCTTCCTCCTGGCTCCTCCTCAAAACCCCTTTATCCCTGCCCTGGGTTGGAAGAACTCATTAGCAGTGGAAAGCCTCCCCAGTGAGACTCTGAACATGGGTGCCGGCTAAATGAGCTAAAAACTCAAAGGCCAAAGGGCCCTGTGTCAGTCCTTCTGGAAAATTGAGGGCTAAGACAGAAAAAAGGTGAAAACTCAAGGCTAGGCACTGCTCCTCCCAGGCACTGGCCCACCCTACCCTAAGGCTGGGCTGCACAAGTGTGGAAGTTTCTCAGAGCACAGGGCCCAGGAAGGAAGGAAGGACTGAGGCAAGAAAGTTTTATTAGGTTCCCGCCATGGGTACTGGAGGAGGAGATTCAGAGTGAGAACCGTATGACACAGAACTGAGGTGAGGAAACTGAGGGGAGCAGGGAAGTGAAAGGGGTCAACTAGACAGGGAAGGGGGTGAGGAGGATGACTCACGAGGCAGGGAGGGAGGAAGGACAAAGAGAGGAGAGGGAAAAACTGTGAAGACTTTGAGGAAAGTGAAGTCAGAACTATAGCAAAAAGGCCAGAGAGTGGAGAGGGAGCAGGTGAAGGCCACCCAGGAAGCACTGGGCTAAGACCAGATGTCCCTCCCCTCTAGATCCATGACCATCCAAGGGGAAACCAGTGGCAAAGTACAACCGATCCAGAATCATGAGGGCAGCAAGAAGAGGGGCAGGATAGGTATGCGACGGGTGAGGGACGTGGTATCTAGAACCCACTGTGGGTCCACGGGGGAATCCCTGGCCCAAGGGAGATGGAGACACACCCTGGGCACTCTGTTCATGGCAAAACCTAAGCCTCTGGACAGATTCAGATAGGGGTTCTGAAGCAGATTAAAGGGACCTGTGATTTCACCCGCATCTGATGGAAACTCTCAACCTTTTGCCCCATCTCCACCTGAGAAAATGGCTCAATCTCCGGGGCGAGAAGGCCTTCCCCCAGCCCTGGAACTATACAGGGGGAGGGAAAAGGCCGAGAGCACGGTGGCCCACCTGGCTTGCCCACCTGCTGTCGCTGCAGCCAGCCACCTCCCTGCTAAATCTTGGCAGCCCAGGAGGGTCCCAGCAGCTTCCGCCCGACCCTCGGGAGGGGCTCTGTGAGGAGCAGCTCCGCCACAGCACGGCCACGGCGTGGGTTGGAAGAGGATGGTTTATTGTCTGGGTGGATTGGTGGCTCAGGCACGTGGGCATCTTCTGTGCTACACTGGGCACCTGGTGGCCTTTCAGGAATGGTTTCATGGGGGCAGGCCCCAGAGTGGCCCCCTCAGCCCACCTGGGCCCACGTAAGGAAGGCTGGGATGTCCCGCACAGGCACATTCCTTGTCAGTGCCTTCACACGAAGGTTCCGGTCATCTGTCAACAGCACCACCTCCCGCAGTAGCCGGATTGGCTCCTCTGTTGGTACAAGAGAGCAGAAGGCCTTTAGTGAGGGAGAAGGCAGAGGCACTGGCTGCTTCTTCCCCTCTGCAGGGCAATGTGGTCCTGGTGACTGAGGGGTCAGGGTCAGTCATTTCTTGGCCTTCCACAAGTTCTGCTCCAAGGGCTGCCTAAGTCCACCTGGCTTCTGCAGACCTATCTCCCAGGCTTTGAACTGAGGGAGCAGATGCAGCCCTTTTCCGTGTATTCCTTCTGACCGTGTGGTGCTCCTGGACTCACAACACTCCTCTTTTGCATACCTTCTCCCTCTTAAGGTCAGCAGGTCTATGCTTTAGGTATCAAGAGGTAGGAAATTAAAGATGGAACAAAAAGTGTATCTAGGGCTCTCTGATGTGGGGGAGGGGTCAGCTCGAGGGAGCTCTGAGGAGGGGAGGGGAAAGATCCCTGGCAGAGCAGCTGTGCCAAGGTGGCCCTGAGGCTATGGCTAAATGATCTTCTCTATTAAATAAAAGTAATCCATGTATATGGTGAAAACCTCTAACAGCACAGAAGAAAAAGAAAGGTAAAGTCAGGATCATCCTCCCCAAACTGTCCCTTCATGCATCTGTCTTGCTCCCCAGATTTGTATCCTTTCAGATTTCTTCCTGCACATTTGCAAGTATATCTGCTTGTAAGCATAAACTTTCCCCCTGGTACCACTGGGATCATATTCGCCACGTTTACTTTACTCAAATTATATCTTTTAAAGACCTTTCTATATTATTATAAACAGACAGCCTTCATTTGTTTTAGATGACTTTTTTAGGACAATCTTTTCCTCCACCTTTCTTCCCCTAGCTCCCTAACCCTTTGATATATTGGGGAGAATTTAAATCAGGGCCAAGTAGTCTTACAAGTGATACCCCTACTACCCCTGGCAAGCCCACTCAGGTGGCAGGACCACTCCTCAGCCGCAGGCTGGCTGTCTCCTGATGGAGGCCCGCGAACAGTGAGGCACAGGAAGTGTCCTGCGGTGCGCACTGGCTGCGTGGGCTGGCAGGGCTGGGGGACTGCAAATATCCATGTCTGCCCTGAACAGTTTTAGGCATGCCAGCTCCAGGCAGGGAGGCTGAGAACTGGCTGTCAGCCTCGGGAGGGGAGGCTCCTGGTGTTGATGGTGGTGAGAGGCGGGGGGAAAGGTAGAAGGCGGGTGTGATGGGAAGAGGCAAGGAGGTGTAGTGGCAGACAAGGAGAAAGGAGGTCATGGGTAAAGATGCTGAGATCACTCAACTGCCTGGGCCGGCCCCTCAGGGGTGTGAGCGTGGGCTGGTCTGGGGTGATGGTGTGCGGTGATATGTGGGGCTCCCAGCTGGCTGCCTAAGTCTGTATGCAGCCTCACCAGTCCTGCCCTGGGACTCAGACCAGGCAAGTCCCAGGCCTTAGGTCAGCCAACCAAGGCCCGATGTTGCTGGCAGGGGTCTGTAGGGGTTTCTGTGGATACTTTGAGACATTTTTAACAATAAACATCCTCTGTTTTGACACTGGTAACTTCACTTTGTTAGAAACCAGAGACTGTCATCTTGTCAGGCCCCATCCGCCATAATCCACATGATTTTAAAATTCAACATCGTTTACACATAAACATTTGGTGACGGTTTCTCTGTGAATCTGACAAGTTAATCTGCTAAGAATTCACACTGACAAATGGGGTTTGATTACACCAGCCGTTGCTGATGTAATTCTGATAGGGGCGGTCCCCAGGATGGCAATGGGTTCCTGCAGGCTGTTTGGGGTGAAGTGGGGGTGGGGAGATTAGTAGAGCCAAACGGCTCTGAGGCTGGGGTGGGGCCACGGCAGTATCCTAACCACACTTCCCAACAAGGCCTTCTGCGATCCTGCCCGCTCAGCCAGGCCTCCTTTTGACCACTTGAATACCCCAGGTCTGGCCTTACGGGACAGAACACACAAGCCATGCGACTTGTATCCTTCCAGATTTCTTTGTGCACATTTACTTTTCCTCCTATAACACTGGAATCATATCAGCCACATTTACTTTACTCACACTATGTATTTAAAGATCTTTCTGTATTGGCACAAACAGATATCCTTCATTCTTTTTAGATGAGTTTTTTAGTGTGGTCTCATCCCCCACCTCTCTTCCCCTAGCTCCCTAACTCTTTAATGCACTGGAGAGACTGGGCATGGCTGGGCCCCCCTGAGGAACAGCAGTCATGGGGCTCCTTACCAGCCCGATTCAGAGGCTCAGGCAGAGTAAGGAGCTGCACTAATGTGTGTGAGGTGGGAGGAGAGGCAGGAGAGAAGACACTCCCAGACCCATCTGAAAGCCAGGGCTAGGAAAATGAACACAGAAGAGAGGTGGGTGACAATGATTGAGAGAGAAAACAACAAGACTCTACACATAAGCAGACAGGAACCAAACGGTGAGAATGATCAGCTCTGCAGATGACACTGAGCTAGGAGGTCCTAGGAATTCTTTTCACAGGAAGAAACGCCAGAATTCTGGGAACCAAAAGCGCAGACAACACCTGAGCCTCAGTGATCCTGCGGGGCCGTGCAGGCAGGAAAGTTCACAGTGGAAGGCCTTTGAGCCAAAGATGGAATTCTGCTCATGAAAAAGCAGGTCTTGAAAACTGAGCTGAGGGCTCAGTCCCTACTCTCACCTCCCTCCAACTCCAGCCAGTGAGCAAAGTGCTGGAGTTCATGAAGTAGAGATTAGGAAGACAATGGCCACCATTCGCTGGTTAAGTACCTCTACCCTGGGCCTGATGTAGGGTCAACATCTAGAGATGAACTGAGGGGGCAGGGAGGTGAGCAGGGCCAAGAGAAGGGAGGTACGCCCCAGGGACCACTGGGGACTGTCCTCAGAGATGCAGAGGGCTGGGCTCCTTCAGGAGACCATGGCCGGAAGAAGCCACACTGAATCATAGAGATACTTCTGCTGTCAGAGAAAACTCACCGAGGCTCCGAGGAAGGACATGAATGCACACAAGGTAGGGATGCTCACTGCCTAGAGCCTGGCTCCCTGGGCTGGACTCATACCCAGTTGGCCCAGGGTCCACCTGGCATTCCTTGGGCGTGGGGTGGGGGAGCTGTGACAGGGAGGTCTGACCCTCAGGAGGGCAGGAAACTGGGCTGGCCTCT